ATGTTGACTATTTTATGCATGCATGCTTCATGCTTCTACCTCTGTTTAAAACATTTTTATGTATTTGTATATATATATTGCATTGATATATGTATATTTACCATATTGCATTGTACACTTCTACCTCTGATTAAGATACTTATATATTGTTTATGTATTGATATATATATTTACCATATTGCAATGTATACTTGCACATTGTTTATATTTGGAGGTCTCATTGTCCTCATTTATTGCACAGTTGTTTATTATCTCAGTCTTTAAGTTAGATAGATATTGAGAATTATATAGATCAACAGTCATCTAAGTTTGTTATTTATAATTAGACTAATCAGGTTCTTTAGATATATAGAGATTATATTCAGTATAGATAGATAATCTTCAACCTCTTCAAAGAGCTGTAGAAAATGGCCTTTAATCTAATTCAGAGTTCTATGGTAGGGAGACACAATCGCTCCTGGCAACACTGATCTATGCCCGAGAGAATGTTGAGCACGAAAGACACTCCACCTGGAGCCTTTCTTCTTGACAGAACTGGCCTTTGGGTAAAGAAATGCTCATACCTCAACTACTGACAGAGTTACAGAATATCCGTAAATGGATAAAACAAGACTGTCATATCCTGCCAAGACAGGGTAAGATAGTTTTGAAGTTTCTTGCCTTTGAAAATGGTATGTCAGTTACATCAGGCCTTAGCCAAAGTTGGTTGCTTCAACGCTGCAAATGTGACTTTGGGTGTTTGTCCAGGTAGCCAGTTGTCTCTGCGATTTGTTACATGTTCTGGAAGTTGTTTGATTGCACTTCCTAATTACTCAGATAACATTATTTCCCTTCTCAGATCTTCGATGGGATTGAAGATTATATAAATGTAGTTACTTTCCTTTCATGACTTGGCCAAGTTATTTGTTATACAAGACTTAAGCTAGTTAGAATAGGATATTTGTATTTATTGTATATAATTTCGTAGGTTTGTACTTATTGTATATAATTGCGTAGTAGGCTTAGAACTCTCTTACTTAAACAAAAGGGGGAGATGCTGTGGGAGTTCCTTCAGCTCCTTCAGCCAATCGCCGCTGAGTTACCAGCCCATTGGGGCGTGGTCTCTCTCCCTTTAAAAAAAGCAGCGGCTGTCCTCCACTCTGTCTTTGTCTTCCGGCTCCGTTTCCGGCCCCTGGACTCCTTTCCTGTTCGCGCGGAGGGGCTGTTGTCTGGGACGGTAATCTGTAAGTTTTTTCCCCTTTGAATAAATAACCATTCTATTAATCATAATTCCAAACTGGTGTGGGATTGTCTGTGACTTACGCCTTCAATGAGTTTTGCTCCAATATATTGTTGAGATTTGGTTTGAACATGGATCATTTGGTTTGAATTGAACACTGCACGGAAAGAACATGTTGCTAGAACTAGTTGTTCCTGCCAAGCCCACGCCTTTAAGCCCAGCATTCAGGAGGTAGAGGCTAGCTGATCTCTGTGAGTTGAGGCCAAGATAACCAGGGGGCTACATGGTAAGACTTTAAAAAAAAACAAAACTAGTAGTCTTTTAGTCTTTGTTTATTTATTAAAAATATATGCCTGGTGGTGGTGGCACACCTTTAACCCCAGTACTCAGGAGGCAGAGGCAAGAGGATCTCTGTGAGTTTGAGGCCAACCTGGTCTACAGAGAAAGTTCAAGAACATGTGAAGGCATAAGTCACAAACAATCCCACACCAGTTTGGAATTATGATTAATAGAATGGTTATTTATTCAAAGGGGAAAAAAAACTTACAGATTACCGTCCCAGACAACAGCCCCTCTGCGCAAACAGGAAAGGAGTCTAGGAGCCGGAAGCCGGAAGCCAGAGAGAGAGTGGAGGACAGCCACTGCTTTTTTAAAGAGAGAGAGACCACACCCCAATGGGCTGGTATCTCAGTGGCTATTGGCTGAAGGAGCGGAAAGAGCTCCCGCAGCAAACATGTATGTATGTATATATGTATGTGTATGTGTGTGTATTGTGCATGTGTGTGTGTGTGTGTGTGTGTGTGTATACTGAATGGGGGCTCAGAGGTTAAGAGCACTGGCTGCCCTTCCCGAGGTCCTGAGCTCAATTTCCAGCAATCACATGGTGGCTCACAACCATCTTATAATGAGCTCTGATACCCTCTTCTGTCATGCAAGCATACATGCAAATAAATCACTCATATACATAAATAAATAAGTCTTTTAAAAAATATATACCAAATGGGACTAAGGATGTCAGCCAGTGGGTAGACCACTTGCCTAACATGCAGGAAGCCTCTGCTTAAATCCCTAGTAACATATAAACAAGATGTGATACACTCCCAGCACTCAGAACATAGAGGCCTTGGGAAAATCACAAGTTCAAAGTCATCATCCTCAGCTATGCACCAAGTTCAAGGCTAGCCAGCTCTATAAGAGACCCTTTCTCAATATGTGTGTGTATTCTGTTCTAGGCTTTATAACAGTGATGAGGGATGCAGAGATAAACAAGATATCTACAGACTCCAAGAAAACCAATAGTGTCTAGTCAAACATAAAACTGCACCTGCCCCACATGCGGCTGTTCCGTTTCCGCTCGCACACCTGGGAAATAACACTTTTATGAAGAAAGTCATTTCAGTATTGTTTGTAGTAAGTGTAGTTTGGAAACAGCCTAATAACAGTCGCTGATTAGATTATGATACTCGCAATGGAAAACTGAATCACTTTAAACAAAAGGAACAAGGAAGTTCTTTATGGCATGAAATGCGCTCGCAGAGACTGTGCAGTTACGTGAGAACGAGACGAAACACAGACTGTAGAACATAATATCATTCGCATATAAAAGAGCAGCCACATAACTGTATCTTTAGAAATATTCACAAGAAGTTGATAGCATGGATTGCCACTAGGAAGGGAGGCTAGAGGGCAGGGCTGGGGACAGAAGTAGGAATGAGACCTTACACATTTCGCCTTCTCATTAGCTCGTCTCTAACTTTCAGATTTTCAGTAGAATGAATGTGTCACCTACTAAGAAAACCAGTGAGGGATGTAGCTTAGTTGGTACAGGGCTTGCTTAGCATCCAAGAAGCCCTGGTTCCAGCTCTCACCCTCCTATAATTCCAGCATTGGGCAGGTAGAGGCAGGGAATGTGAGGCTCAAGGGGATCTAGGCTGCAAAGCAAATTTAAGGCCAGTCTGATGTAAAGACCCTGTCTTATAAAAGCTAATTCATTAATTGAATGAGCCAGGAGTGGGGGCTTACCCCTGTAATCCTAGCACTCAAAAAGGTGAAGCAAGAGGAGCACCACAGACCCAGGGTGATAACTTGCTTCAAAAAAGCATAATTAATTTTAGAAAAGATTAAACTGAAAGAAGAGGTCCTCAGATCACACAAACTAGAAAATAAGGGCAGAGGAGATGGTCCCGTGGATAAAGGAGCCTACGGTCAGTCCTAAAGCCTGGGTTCTATCCAACAGAAGGAGTCAACTCCACACGTTGTCCTCTGACCGACACACAAACACAAAAATAAATGTAATATAGACATATTTTCAGTCAGGCAGTGGCAGTGCACACCTTTAATCCCAGCACTCAGGAGACTGAGATGAGTGGATCAAGGCCAGCCTGGTCTGCAGAGTGAGTTCCAGGGTTACACAGAGAAATCCTGTCTCAAAATGACAAAAGTGTTTGTGTGTGTGTGTGTGTGTGTGTGTGTGTGTGTGAAAATAAGTTGCCAAGCCCATGCAATGGTGCATGCCTGTGTTCCAAACACTGAAGGAGTAGATGAAGGGTTTCAAGGTCAGCCTCAGCTACAAACTAAGTTCAGGGCCAGCCTGGGCTGCATGAAACAATGTCTCCAACACTCATAGTCTAACAGTCAAGATAGCAAAAGACAAAACAATGCTAACAATTAAATCATAATGAGATGTGCCAGAGGCCTGGACAAGCTGCTAGGAGAAGCCTTCAAGGACCTGGAGGTGAGGACATGGGGGAGATGTGGCTATTCACGAGATGAGTTCACAACACAGAGCATGATGGTGGGGGACACTGAGGTCTGTAAGACTATCATTGTGGGGTGAGAATGTGCAGCTCAGTAGGACTGGAGCAGAGCGCACAGGGCAGGAGGACGGGAGAGTCAGATCTCCGGGGTACTTCGGAGACTGGATATTGTTTGTGCCTGGGAACTGGAGTTTCAGTCCACGGGGTCTTCGAATGCCTCTTGAGCAGATTATCCAAACGTTCTCCCACTTGCCCTTCAAGACGTTCATGCTGCAGGACTTATGAGGAATGAACCGGGTAGATCATTCTGAAGCAGTTGCAGGGATGCAGGAGAATTAATGGGATTCAAACTAGGGCCGTAGCAATGGGGATAGAAGGAAGGGGACACGAGAGGAAAGAGGAGCCTGGGAGGATCTCCGGTGCCCTGGAACAGGGAGGAAACGATGGTCCACAGTCCCCCGAGACGAGGCACAAGAAGGAAGAGGAGGTGTGCAGGAGACAGTTTTCTTGGAGCCAGGTAGACCTGAGGGGCCTGTGATAGGTCCAAGAGGAGCTGTCTAGCCTTTATTTGGACACGGCCACAGCACAGGTTTGCAAGCCTTTGGCTCTGGGTGGCAACAAATCATAGACGAAGGGAGAGCGTCCGGTGAGCTGAGTGCTGATAGCAGAGCCCAGGAAATCCGCCCTTGAAGTAGCAGGCTCAAAGAGGAAAGAGACCAGTGAACAACTAAGAGAAGTCAGAGACCTGGGGAACCTAGAGGGAGTGGAGCCTGGGTAGTCCGTGAAGCCGTCTTCGGCACCGGACTTGGGCCATTCATTGTTTGCAGAGTATGGCCCACCTCAGAGTCTCTCAATAACAGTGTAAACAGAAATCGTCCCAAGAAACTAGGCTCAGATAACAGCAGACTACAGTCTCACTGCTAATTAACCCAAGAATTGAACCTTGAACCCAAACGTTCTGACCAAAGCCAGGCCCCTCTCTTTCCTCTGTCCATCTTCTTTTTGGTTGAGTAAGTTCTCCCTACCTTCTGCGCCCGCAGAGGCAGCGGTTCCCATAGCCCTTGAGGCACGGATACTTAGGAGGGAAGCCCACCTCTGCACTTCTGCTCACGCAGCCTTTTCGCCTTGTGGTTTAGCTTTTCCCAGCTCTGAATTCTCCTCGTCCAAGCCCTAGCTGCAGTCTTCCTCCAGGGTCCCCAAAGATTCCAGCTAGAACTAACATTTTCCTTTTCTAAATTCTTGAGGCCAATGCCGTTCCAGAGGACTACTGATGAGTCACGCGCTTGTGTAACTCCCTCCCTCAGAGGTGAGTAGAACCTGTGACTTGCTTCTGGGCAATAAAATACGCCAAAGGTGACAGTTGTGTCACACCCATGGTTCTGCCTGAGTTATGTAATGTTCCTTCTTAGCAAGACTGATCCTTCTGGCTTTTGGAAGGCTGAGAACCACCTAGGGGGAAAGCCACAAATGTAACGCTTCAGAGAACTTCAGGACCCGAGTGACTCTTGGGGACATCAATAAATAAATAAATAAATAAATAAATAAATAAGTCCCTCCATCTTATACCCTCATGAAAGTCTGCTAACAAGCACATGAACACATAGAAGAGGATCCAAGCTCCACAAAGCAACCTTGACTATAGTCGAGTGAGATCTGAGTAGAGGGCCCATGTGCTTTAAGCTGCTGAATCTGTAGTAATTCGTTACACAGCAAAAGAAAAATCAAGCTAACCCCTACTGCATTTATGGCCAGCCCAACTCGGTTTAAGACACAACAGCAAGTACTTAGCTGTGCTCTGCCTTCCATAGCCGAAGGTAGGCTTCTGGGAAGCAATGAACTGGCCCCATGCAGTTAAGAGCATTTGTTCTTGCAGAGGACCCAGGTTTGATTGCCAGCACCCACATAGTGCCCCATCACCATCTATAACCCCAGTTCCAGAGGATCCCACACCTTCTTCTGACAGCCAAGGGTTCCAGACATGAGAGTGCTGTACAGACACACCTACAGGAGAAACAGATATAGCAAGGAAAGCAAGTAAGCTTTCAAGCAGCCGCCTTTCTCCAGCATTCTCCCATCTCACACCTAATACGCCAACCCAACCGTTGACAAAACAAAGCAAACAAACACACAAAAACAACTACCATGACTAGGTTTTTGGAGGTTTTTGTTTCTTGGGGTTTGTTTGGTTTTTTTGAGACAGGGTTTCTCTGTGTAGCTTTGGAGCCTGTCCTAGAACTAGCTCTTGTAGACCAGGATGGCCTCAAACTCACAAAGACCCACCTGCCTCTGCCTCCCAAGTGCTGGGATTAAAGGCATGCAGCACCATCACCTGGCTTTACCATGACTAGTTTTAGTCAAGACTTTCTTCTGGGACTTCGAGTGTTGGACTCTAGTGTCCAGACCGAGAAGGAGTCGCCCCCAGAGACCACCTCATATACCACAGCCGATGCAAAAGCATGAGGATTTTATTAATTCTGTCATGACAGGGTCCCCCAGCATTCAGGAAGCCGAGAGACCCTGACTAGCTGGTACAGTCTACTTTTAAAGGAGAAGGCCCCATAGAAACAAGAGGGGTTGTTCCTTGACCATTATGATTGGCTTATTCGAAAAGGGCTAATACCAATAATTGACTGGAGAACTATTGTCAGATTAGATGAGGTAAGAGGTCATTTTGACCCCGTTTCCCAGGGGACTGAGTCTAAACATACGTGTATGGGTAATTGTTCAGGAACTAAGTACGTGCATGTGTAGCTGTTAGGTCCTTGGTTCCCAGGGGAGGAGGGGAAGCACTGAGGCACAGAGGCTGAGAGGGTTTGGAATTGTCAGAAATGGCTTCAGAATTGTCTAAAATCTTACACGAGAAGACCTGTCACTGTATGTACAGCTTCCAGTGAATACCAGAGTCGAATTGTCGCTCTGCAAATACAAAGGGTAATGGCAAGAAGGGTGGATTTAGGTAAGCTGTCACATGGTGCCACTTCATCTTCACGTAAAAACTTCAAAAAACAAAAAGAATTTACAGGACACTTACAAAAAATAGTTTAATTTTTTGTTTACAGGACACTTACAAAAAATAGTTTAATTTTTTGTTGATTTTTAATTGAGCTCTGCATTTTTCCCTGCTCCCCTCCCCCTTTCAACCCTCCCCCAAGGTCCCCATGCTCCTAGTTTACTCAGGAGATCTTGTCTTTTTCGACTTTCTACTTCTCATGTAGATTAGATCTATGTAAGTCTCTCTTAGTGAATAGTTTAATTTTTTAAAATGAAGTATATGGTACAACAGGGTAGCTTTGCTCAAGCTTCCCTCAGTTGACTTCCTGTTGTCTCTGAGTCCAGATGTAAGGACTCTCAGCTCCAGGACCACATCTGCCTGCATGCCTCCATGCCCCCTGCCATGATGATAATGGACTGAGCCTCTGAAACTGTAAGCTGCCACCCCAATTAAATGTTTCCTTTATAAGAGTTGCCAAAGTCATGGTGTCTCTTCACAGCAACAGAAGCCCTAAGACAGAAATTGGTACCAGAAGTGGGGTACAGCTGTGATAGGCCTGACCATGTGTTTGCTTAGTGGAATTTAGATGTTGGTACTTTGGGGAAAGTAGTGGAATGCTTTAAGTACTGCTTAATGGGCCATACTAGTAGGAGCATGGAAGACAGTGGCGCTGATAATGATTTGAACTGTCAGGAGCTGACTCAAGAGGTTTCAGAGGAGACTTTTAGTATGTTGCCTAGAAATCCTTTTTGTGATATTTTGGTGAAGATAATGACTGCCTTTTGCCCTTGTACAAAACATCTGCCTGTGGCTAAAGTGAAGAGCTTTAGACTAATTCCCATGGCAGAAGAAATCTCCAAACAGCCCAGTATAAACTCTGTTGTGTGGTTTTTAGTGGTAACTCTAAGGAGAGCCAGCTGAGCAGGGTAAATCACACAGTGTAAATTTTAAGGAGAAAAAGTAGAATGGTCCAAGGAGATAAACAGATGAAATGAAATACAGGGAACGGTAGCTAAAGGCGAGATCCCACCCAGGTAAACTTCTAACTTGTGGAATGGAACATAGAAGAGTTTAGAGCCAGGTGTGTTGGCAGACCTTTAATCCCAGTGCTAGGAAGGCAGAGGCTGGCAGATCTCTGAGTTTAAGGATTGCCTGGTCTAAATAGCAAGTTCAAGGACAGCCAAGTTTAGGCAGTGAAGGGCAACAGAAAGCTGTGAAGATGTACTTAAACAAGGGGGCCGTGTTCCAGCCCCAGCAAGCAGCAGAACTTGGCAGCCTCAGCCATGTGGTTCTGGTTTTAGAGTTAAAAACAGAGAAAGGAGTTATGGAATAAAGCCCCTGAGGCCAGGCACCTCAGTGGTGCCTTGAATGGAGGCCTAGCAGAGAGGCCATTTCGTGAAACTGTGAAGGTGAAGCCTGAATCAACTGGGAGAACCTAAGATGTTAGAGATGCCTGTCGTGGGATACCTGCTGAGGAGAGCTGTTAGCAGGAAGTGGAGCCAGCTCAAGAGAAAGAAGTGTGTTCCAGACAGGCTCCAAAGCTACACAGAGAAACCCTGTCTCAAAAATAAACAAATAAGTAAATAAAATTAGAAAGCCTTTATCAGAAGGCAGAAGCAAGTGGATCTCAGTAAGTTCGAACCAGCCTGGTCCACATAGCAAAATTCAGGACAGCCTGGGCTATACAGAGAAAGCAGTGAAAATATTCAGATATAAAGCAAAAAAAATTGCTAAACTTGAAAACTGTGTTAGTTCATGGTTGTTTCTAACAGCCATTTAATGCTGAATTTCACCTGTAACAGCAGGAGCGGGCTGCTTGTCATCCTGACCACCCGGCTATCTTATACCCGAAATAATCACACAGAAACTGTATTCATTTAAACACTGCCTGGCCCATTAGCTCTAACTTCTTATTGGCTAATTCTTACATCTTAATTTAATCCATTTCTATTAATCTGTGTATCACCACGTGACTGTGTCTTGCTGGCAAGATTTTAACCAGCGTCCGTCTCGGGCAGGAGATACACAACGTCTCTCTGTCTGGCCTTCTTCCCAGCATTCAGTTCTGTCTTCTCCATGCCTACCTAAGTTCTGCCCTAACAAAAGGCCAAGGAAGTTTCTTTTTCTTTATTTTTTTTAAGATTTATTTATTATGTATACAGTGTTCTATATGCCTGAAGGCCAGAAGAGGACACCAGATCTCGTCTTGGATGGTTGTGAGCCACCATGTGGTTGATGGGAATTGAACTCAGGACCTTTGGAAGAGCAGCCAGTGCTCTTAACCTCTGAGCCATCTCTCTAGTCTGACAGTTTCTTTATTCAACCAATGAAAGTGAAACATAGACAGAAGGACCTCCTGCACCATTCACCCACCTTTATCTGTGAATAGTAACTGTTTACCAGCATCAACCATTGCTTGTTTTCCCACCTTGTGCCACCTTCCCCTTTACTCAGATCCTCAGTTGGGTTCCATGGGCTTATTTATTGGTTTTCTAGACAAGGTTTCTCTGTAAAACAGCTCTTGCTGTACTAGAACTCGCTCTGTAGACCAAGTTGGCCTCAAACTCACAGAGACCCACCTGCCCCTGCCTCCTGAGTGCTGGAATTAAAGACTTGTGCCACCACGCCCAGCCTTATTTATTCTTTTTTTTTTTCAGTCGAAAGGACACAGGACTTATTTATTCTTTTAATGTATTTACTGGCAGAGTTTCTCTGTTTAGACCTGGCTGACCTGGAATTGACTGTGTAGACCAGATTGATCTCAAACTCATGTTGAACCTCCTACCTCTGCCTCTTGAGTGCTGGGATGTGGTGGTTTGAATGAGAATGGCCCTCAGAAACTCATATGTTTAAATACTTGGTCCCCAATTGGTGGAACTGTTTGGGAAGGATTAGGAGGTGTGGTCTTGTTAGAGGAGGTGAGTCACTGGGGGTGGGCTATGTCATTTCTAGTTAACTCTCTCTGCCTTGAGGCTGTGTCTCAAAGTGCTCTCTTGGTGGTGGTGGTGCATACCTTTAATCCCAGCACTCAGGAGGCAGAGACAGGAAGTTCTCTGTGAGTTCAAGGCCAGCCTGGTCTATAGAGCTAGTTCCAGGACAGCCAGAGCTGTTATACAGAGAAACCCTATCTCGAAAAGCAAAACAAAAGACAAGATGTAAGTTCTTAGCTATTGTACCAGTGCCATGTCTGCCTGCGGCCATGCTCTCCACCGTGATGGTCATGGACCTAACCCTCTGAAACCATAAGCCTCAAATAAACTCTTTCTTTTATGGGTTGTCTTTTTCCTGGTGTTTTGTCATAGCAATAGAAAAGTAATATGACATATGTTGTATTATTATTATTATATATTTATTTTATTTTGACTTATGTGTATTTGTGTGAATCTCTATGTGACTATATGCATGGATACAGTGCCAACAGAGACCAGAGACATTAAATATCCCTGTAGCTAGAGTTATAAGCAATTGTGAGTCACATAACATGAGTGGTAGGAATTGAATCCAGATCCTCTTGAAGAACAATATGCACTCTTAACCACTGAGCCATCTCTCCAGCCCTAGGGTTGTTTATTGTTGTTGTTGTTGTTGTTAATCTTATTTGAGATGGGTTCTCAATGGCTTCACATTCTTAGGCTGAAATGATCCTCCTGCCTCAGCCTCCCAGGTGCTGAGATTACAAGTGAGTGCTAACATACCCAGTTACATTTCCAAAGTTGTTTTGACTGAAATGCGATTCAAGAACCACCCTTAAATTTTTCCAAAAAACAACAATAATAAAAGCACTGTAAGAAAATGTTGTATGCAGAATGGAATCAAATTCCCCTTGAAGATCACCTGCTCGTTTATTCCTTTGTTTTCTGTCCTCTTTCAACACAGCTGGCTCACTTCATATCTATGCCAAAAGCCTTTGGGACAGGGAGGCAGAGAGGAAGTCTCCGCGCCACAGAGAAGGCCAGGCACAAAGCCTGGGTGACTGTGTGCAACTCTGGAAAAGTCTATTTACTGACAACACATATGTATTAATGTTTACAGTCCCTTAGAAGTTTGTACATGAGGCAAAGCTGTGAGAGCCACACTTCGAATGACAGCGAGGATCTGACCCAACACACTCAGGGAGCTTGAGAATACCCCAGACGATACTACTGAGACCAGCCTGTGCCCCATACCCAGGGCTGAGCAAAAGGCCTATCCGGCTCTGATCTATAAACCTGGAATTAGAGATTGTCTACTTACTTCAATTCAGAAATTCCGGGTAATTTTCCTAGAAAATATTATTGACTAAGTCCTCCCCAATCCCTCAAACCCAAGCCCGGGAGCTCACTAAGTTCTTTTTGTTATTGTTTGTTTGTCTGTTTTTTGAGACAGGGTTTCTCTGTATAGCCTTGGCTGTCCTGGAACTCACTTTGTAGACCAGGCTGGCCTTGAACTCACAGAGATCCACCTGCCTCTGCCTCTAAAGTGCTAGGATTAAAGGCGTGCACCTCTACTGCCCAGTTTTTGGTTGTGAGCCACCTCATGGGTTCTGGAAATTGAATGCAGGTCTTTAGGAAGTGCAGTCAGTGCTTTTAACCACTGAGCCATCTCTGCAGCCCCTGAAAGTTCATTTAGCCCTCTTCTGGAGTTAAAATAGGTTTCAATTAGCTTGTTTGGCTTTCTGAGGCCATGTGGCCCTGGCTGGCCTGGAACTCACTACGTCACCACTAATCTGGCACTTGGCTTCGGTTTGTGAGACAGATTCTTACTACATAGCCTAGGCTGGCATGGAATTCATTACCAATGCGTCTCCCAGCTGCCTGGGATTACTGGTGCCAGCCACCCTGACCAGCTCTGTTATTTCTAAATGACATGTGCCCTCCAGTGCACAGACACTAAATATCGGCACCCAGTTCTCTCCATTCAGCTCCTGGTGCCAGACCCAGGACAGCCACCTTGTGGACGAACATCCTGTTCGTCCAGACGAGTTCACTGCAGTTCCTCCACCGGCCGCTAGGTGTGGATCTCAATGCTGGGACGAGGAGACAAACAGCCCCTGCCATATCCGACTTCTCGGCCTAGGCTAGAGGCAAACAGGGACCGCGGAGTGGGAGACTGGGTACCAGGCTGAGGGAGCATTGTAGAGGATGATTAGCACTGTCTGGCATCCTCGGGGATTGGGGCGGGATTCACCAACAGGTATCAGCTATTTTGTTTTTGAAACAAGGTCTCATATATACCTGGCTAGCATCAAGCTTCTCACGGAGCTTGGCTTTATGCAGTACTGGGGATTGAACCCAGGGCTTTGTGCGTGCTAGGCAAGCACTCTCTCATCTCAGTTGAACTGCATCCACAGCCCTTGTTTTCTGAGACAGGGTTTCCTGTAGTCCAAGCTAGCTTCCAACTTAGTACGTAGCCAAGGCTCACCATGAAATCCTGATGCTACTACTGTCGCTTCTCAAGTGCTGGGATTACAGGCATGCACCACGATTGCATAGGATTGTTTGTTTTTAACATTACTTACTCACTTGGTAGGGGGTATTCCTGCCATGTGCATCTGTGGAGGTCGCTTCTCTCTACCATCTGGGTCCCAGGGAATGGGGTCCAAGTTGCCTTCCTTGGCAGTACTTTCCCTGATAGTTGCCTTGCTGGCCCAGGGTTTTGCCTGTTTGTTTTGATTTATAGCGTGAGTGTGGAGGTTAAAAGACAACTTTCAGGAGTCAGTTCTGTCTATCATAAGGGTGCTGGGAATCAAACTCAGGTCACTAGCCTTGGTAACAGATTTCTCACCTCCCACCCCCACCCTGACTCATCTCTCCTGGCCTCTGAGTATGGGTTGGAAAAGACAAAAACAAATGGCAGAAAAAAGTGAGGGGAGGTATATGGTGCCTCCTAAAACAGCCTGCACAGTAGCAGAGTCCAGAAACCAGAGCGAGTGAGGCTTAATCTCAGCTGTCGGATCTCCACGGCCTAGGGAGGGGGTGGCTCTCAGCCCTGTTGTTGAGTGAGCAACATTATCTCTCTACACAGCTGTCACATTCTTAAGGCTGTTCTGTGGGTCTCTACGAGATCCCAAGGCAGTGTAGCCGTGGACAGCTTTGTGGAGTTGAATCTCTCTGCTTTTACATGGGTTCCAGGCATTGAACGCAGGTGGTTTTGAACAGGTGTTTCTTCCTTTATTTGGGAGGGGACATGCACATGTGGAGGGTATTTGTGATTTGACCCACTAGCCCAACCTGGAACTCCCTTTTCAAAAAAACGTAGTTTTGTTTGGTTTTTTTTTTTTTTTTTTTTTTTAAGATGGGGTTTCTCTGTGTAGCGTGGCTGTCCTGGAACTCATTATGTAAACCAGGCTGGCCTCGAATTCACAGAGATCCACCTGCCTTTGCCTCCTGAGTGCAGGGATTAAAGGTATGGACTGCTACCACCCGGCTTAAAAAAACAAAGTATTTTATTTTTATGTGTGTTTTTTGGATATATGTGTGCATGCATGTGTGTTTGCACACATGAATGTGACTGCCCATGGAGACCACTAGAAGGTGTTGGATCCCCTAGAGCTGGAGTTACAGGCAGTTGTGAGCCACCCTACATGGATGCTCTTAACCGCTGGGTCACCTCTCCAGCCCCCAACCTTAATCTCTTGATCCTCTGACTTTCACTCCCTCCTGTGCTAGTGCAAGTGTTACAATTATGTGTGTGCCACGGTGGCACCACATCCCGCTTGAATCCTCAGGCCACTTGTGATTACACAAAATGTGATGATTGGTGACTGGAACTCAGACAACCTGCTATTTGAGAGAAGAAGAACCTAGGGTTCAGTTAGTGAAATGGCTTACTCACATCCCCGGGGTGAGCCATGCCAACACCCAGCCCTCCTTACCACCCACGCTGAGCTTCCCCCTGAGCATGCTCGGGCTGGTGATCTTCATACAGTGAGCACATGAGAATCCTGGCTGCATCATCCTCTCTAGAGAAAAGGGGGAGAGCGTGTGGCTTGACAGAGCTTTCTGGAAAACTCCAAAACAGTCTTTTCTGAGCAAGAATTTTTTTGTTTTGTTTTGGTAATGTAGGAGGGTTATCTGTCTATGTGTTACTTTTGTTGGTTAATAAAGAAACTGCTTGGCCTCATAGGTCAGAACATAGATGGGTGGAGTAAACAGAACAGGATACTGGGAGAAAGACGCAGAGTCACACAGAGGCAGAGAACTGCCCGCCATGAAGCTGCCAGGTCAGACACGCTGAATCCTCCCGGTAAGCCACGACATTGTGGTGATATACAGATTATTAGAAATGGGTTAATTAAGATGTGAGAGTTAGCCAGTAAGAGGTTAGAGCTAATGGGCCAGGCAGTGTTTAAAAGAATATAGTTTCCATGTAATTATTTCGAGTGTAAACTAGCCAGGATCCAGGCGAGAACGCAGCCTGCTGCTCTGAGAACGCAGCAGCCCACAGTTCTTATTTACTACATTTTGGTTTTGGTCTTTCAAGACTGGGTTTCTCTGTAGCTTTGGAGCCTGTCCTGGAACTAACTCTTGTAGACCACGCTGGCCTCAAACTCACAGAGATCCACCTGCCTCTGCCTCCCGAGTGCTGGGATCAAAGGCGTGCACCACCACTGTCCGGCAACCAAGAACTTATTTAACGTGATCAAATGAAATGACATTCCTCTAGCATCTCTAAGAGGAGGAGATTAAACACCAAGCCTTATAAAAGAGATTTTTCTTTTCTTGTTTTCCTACTGTGTAGCCTTAGCTGCCCTGGAACTCTCCTCAGCCTTCTGAGTGCTGGAATTACAGGCGTGTGCCACCACCGCCGGGCGTGTATGAGATCTTTTAGTTGCTCTTTTGAGACAGGGTATCATATAACCCAGCTGTCTTCGGACCTCCTACATAGCTGGGGGTATCCTTGAATTGCGAGTCCTCCTGCCTCTGTCTCAACAACCCATCTGGTACTAGGGCTACAGGCCTGTCCCATCCTGTCTAGCTATAAATGAGATCTTAAAATCAGCTTTCATTTTACTGAAATGTTACCAGCCTCAGAAATGTTCCAGAGGTCTACCTCTGATGACACAAATAAGCAACCAAACCAAGGGCAGGGAGACTTGTTCAGTTTGTAAACGATATTTACTCTCCTATAATCCAATTTCTTCTCAGGCCTGGCCTTTGTTCTTCTGGTGCTGGACCTAATTTGCAAAAAATCCCTCATTTAATTCTAATTCAACTGCTGCCCTTTGCTTTAAAATAAAATATAAAAAAAATTAAATTTGGTATTTACAGCATGAAAGCTCCTGAGACCTCCAGTTTGTTCTACTGGGCTCACAGTGATCACCTGCCCAGGTGCTCAAGGGCATGCTGCCCTCTGCTGGTTTCAACCTGGAGGTGCAGAGTCCCACTTGGCTCACAAAACTCCTAACTGAAAGGGACTTTAGTCTAACCCTCCCCCGCCCCACCTGGAGTTCAGAGGGTTTTGGACTTTCAAGAAAGGACACACTGAGGTTAGAGAGTGAGCCAGGCAAGAAGTGGCAGTCACTAGGGGGGCAAGGAAGGAGAAATGGTCACCTCTTCGAATTAGGAAAAGCACAATGACATTTAAGATCCTGGGACTTGAGGGCTGGAGAAATGGTTCAATAGGTAAGAGTGCTTCCCGCCTTGGCAGAGTACCGGAGTTGGGTTCTCAACATCCATGTCAGGGGATCATAGCCGCATGTAACTCCAGTTCCAAGGCGATCCAATGTCCCCTTCTGACCGCTGCAGGCACCTGCGCACATACACAATCTTCAAAAAGACAAACCGCAAGGGACTGGAGAGATGGCTCGGTAGTGAAGAGCACCCACGTTCAGTTCCCAGCCCCCACATGTTGGCTCACAACCGTAACAGTTGGGTTGGAAGGGATCTGTCATCCTCTTCTGGCCTCTGAGGCCACCGCAGTATGTGGTGAGCAGACACGCATGCAAGCAAAGCACCAATACACATAAAATGGAAATAAATAAAACCTCAAAGGAAAAAATTTAATGCGGACTCTTTGGGGATGCAGTTTGGTACTAAAGCCCTGCCCAGAATGTGTGAGGTTCAGTCTCCAACATTCCCCCACACCCCCCACAAAGAATTGTGAACTCAGGTGAGTGAGTCGGGTGATCTGAGAGGCTCAGGAGGGGCTTGGGGAAAGCAGAGTGTCTCCCACTCTCCACCCCTCCATCTTCTGCTCCCGAGGGGAGGTACTCCAAGCTACAGCTAGCTCAAGGTCAGGGCTTTTCTCCAGCTCATTCTAGGATGCTCTTCCTAGAACAAGAACAAAGCCTGTACTGTGGATCTTGATTCTGTCCCCACTCTAACCTAAAGTCATACACGCTTGCCCGTGACCACCTGTGCCCACACCCACCCTTACCTGCGCCCACCTTTGTGCTCCATTTCCTTAAAACCAGATTCTATGTCTCCTCAGTTTTGAAAAATGATGTGTGACTACTTGCCTGAGGACACACACATATCGCCTGGCACTGCTTAGATTAATAGCAATTTAGGGACAGAGTCTCTGAGTTTCCCTTCTAAGCCTATAGTCAAGCCCTATATATTAAATGCTCAGAAATATTTTTCACCGTAAATCACATATTTAGTGTCCATAGTGTGCCAGTCATGCCCCATGCTACACATGGTCCTTGCATATGGATTTTTAAAGATTTATTTATTTTATATGTGTGGGTGCTTTTGCCTACATGGATGCTTGTGTTCACATGTGTGCCATACCCACAGGGGCCAAAAAAGGGCATCAGATAATCTGGAACTGGAGTTATAGATGACTGTGGCCTCCCTGTGGGCTCTAGGAACTGAACACTGGTCCTCTGCAAGAGCAAGTACTATGAACCACAGAGGCAGCTCTCCAGGCCCCTTGCAAGTCTGTGTTCAGAGCATTGCTTCAGCTATGAGGGAGTAAAGCAAGCATTACATGCATGGGTATGGGGCCAGACTGCCTGTGACCTAGCTCCATCCATACAGTCTATCTTTGCACCCTTTGATATGAGATTTGTTCTCTTGTGTCTCAATTTCTTCATCTGTCAAATGAGAAACGATGGTGCCTACTTCACTGTAAGCACACAGTAAGTGTTCTTACTGGGAGAGCATTATCATCTTGGTTTCACAGATGGAGAAGTTAAAGCTTAGAGAGTTTAAATAACTTTTCCAACCAGCATGGCTAGTAAAGAAGATATAGGATGATAAATAAGAGCCTAAGCCCACGACAGCTCTCTGAGCTTTGTGCTACACAATCTCACTGTTGTTGGATGACCAAATGCAAGGACAAGTGAGTGACAGATAAGATTCGTTACTGTTGGTGCCTGCCATTTGACTCTTGCACAAGGAGGATACTGACACAATCTACCTGTTTCTCATTCTCTAAAATCAACTAAGAGAGTAGACAAAATTCTTTATCATTTTTTTTATGTGTATAGGTGTATGTGCACTATTTGCATGCCTAGTACCCTCAGAGGCCAGAAGAGGGCGTGAGAGCCCCTGGAACTGGAGCTGAAGACAGTTGTGAGCCACCATGTGGGTGCTGGGAATCAAATTCAGGTCCTCTTGAAGAGCAGCCAGTGCTCTAACCAGTTGGCCACCTTTCCAGTCCAACACCAGTTTATAAAATAATCTATTTTTATTTTATGTGCATTGACCACATGTGAGATTTTTCAAAATTGAAAGATATAATTAGATTTTGAAATGGAAAGAGGAGGTGAAAACGCCTGGTTTCAGAGAAACTGAAGCCTGTTGCGATAGCCCACACCTATGGTCTCAGCACATAGGAGACTGACACGGGAGAATGGGGAGGGAGGAGAGAAGGAGAAGGAGTAAGGGGGATTATAAAGGGGGACAGAGTAGATGAAAGATGATTACAGACCTCCTGACCCCAAGATTATACAGCCAAGAAAAGAAGTTCACTTCTTTTACTGACCAATGTTTTGCAAGAATTTTCCACAGTAATATAGTTTACATAGCACGTCAATTAAAACACAAACCACACTGAAAGTTACAGACAGACAGAAGGGTCAGGCTGGGCCCAGAACCCCAGTGACAGGGAGGACAGGGCTGGCCCTGCAACAGCTCAAGTCATAAGGACTCATGATTCCCTTTCCTTCAGTGCTCTGAGGACCAACACCCTGTCGGGAAATTAATTATCCTGCTACCATCGACCCTCAATCTCCTCTTCCACAGGGCTCCAGGGTAAGAGATCTAGCAGAAAGCCACACATCTTAGAGCCCAAAGTCGGCCTCAGTGAGTCAGGAAGTGCTTACCTTTAAGGCCCGCCTCTTCCATCCTCAGCCTGGAAAAGCATTTCCCTTGGGAAAGGGGGGAAATATTTGCCTCTTTAACTTTTGAGTTCCAAGGCTGTGTGCTTATAATCGGAACAGAATAGAGGAAACAACTGCTCTCTGCAAAGCCAGAGCTCTAAGTCAAAGCGTGGAAAAGAGGCCAAGGGCCCTAGGCGAACATCTGTCGTTGAGTCATAGCCTGAACAGACGCAGGCCCTAGCTCAACAGCCTGGCTCTGAGGCACGGGAGAACTTGGATCACACAGGCCCCACACACAACTGCTGTTCAGAGCCAGGGGCCAACTAGAGAGGGAATACTGCTTCCTCCATTCCAGAGGGCGCTAGCCTCCTCTGGTAAAGTCAGTCACCCTGTCAAGCAGAGCATCCTCCCAATGTGGAAACACTTCACGGTGGAACAGCGAACGGCTGAGTGATTTAAAACAAGGACAAAGCCAGGCGTGGGGTGCACACCTGAAATCCCAGCACTTGGAGTGGGGGCACTAAGATAGGAAGATGGCGACTTTGAGGCTAGCCTGAGCTACAGAATGAGATCCAAAGAGAGACAGAGACAGAGATACAGAGACACAAAGAAAAATGGACAAATCATCTTTGAACCTTAGAAACCTGTCTGGCCTGGAAGTCACTATGTAGACCAGGCTGGCCTTAAACCCACAAACATCAACCTGCCTCTGCCTCCCAAGTGCTGGGGTTAAAGGTGCACACCACTACGCTCTGGGTTCTTCTCCTTTATTTAGTTTGGTAAACTTGTATTTTGAGACAGGTCTTCCTAAGTTGACGAGGCTGCCCTTACATTTTCAGTCCCTCCCGCCACATCACCAGGAAGCTGAGGGGTGAAACAGTGCATGCCGCCGGGCTCTTTTCTGCTCAGACGGAAAGATGAAGACCTGGAATATGGGCAGCTGTCGTGAAGGCTGGGAACGAGCGTTCCCGTGAGCTTCTTTTCCCACACCAGGTCTGCAGTCCACGTTTACAGGAGGCTGGCAAGGGCGGCTGCGTGTCTGGGCAGCTCTTAACGCCCTCATGGCAAAAGTCCTGGAGAGGCAGAACTCGCCTCCCTCGGGCAGTACACAAGAGTTGGCTTAAAACACCGTAGAACACAGGCAATAAAAGTGGCTGAAGTCAGGAGCTCGCCTTCTCCTCAGCCCTGACACCTCTAACTGGAAGCTGTCAAGATGCTGAGTGTTTGCCCAGCCACTCTCCAGCATCCTGCTTGGCCTTTCAGCAGCAGCCTACCGTGGCACACGAAGCAGATGCCAAAGATGCCCCCCAACACTTTATTTATTTGTCTAAATAAATCTTAGAGCCTTGTTTCTGATCTCCAGAATGTCTTCTGCCCACCTCCTATCTGCACGCCACATCTCTGCTCCTCCCTGCGGGAGAGCCTCCCTTTCCTGCGGGCAGCACACTCATTCAGCATCCCCCAGCCAGGCCAGTCTTCTTGGCACCCTTGCCAACCCCACCCTGCTTCTAGCCTGTTAATATTCTGGGACAAGCAGTCTGGATATACCTGTGCCAAGCAAGACTGCCAGGGCAAGAGCAACCCGGGAGTCAGGAGGCAAACCCAGATGTGGGGTGGAATGTTTCCAGGGCCTTTGGTGCCCGTGTGGTCAATCAGCGGAGGAAGCAGGGGAAGAAAAGTTACATTCTCAACTGAAAGAGAAAGGGGAACCAGAGGGGCCAGGCAACAGGAGGGTGTTGTTTTCCATTTCCTTGGCCCAGCAGAGTTTGTGTAAATTCAGCTATGTCTTATTTGGCCCTGCAGCCAACTGGCTTCCTGACAGAACTGGGGGGAGGATCACTATACTAACCCAATGCTATCCAGAGACTGCAGAAACTAATAAGCCCTTGCAGAGCTGCAACCAGCCTTTCCAGGGATCTGCTCACCTCAGCAAAGCCTGCAGGTTGCTCATGTACCTCTGCCGTGACTGGTGTCCCTCTGTGCAGTGCTGTTCCAAATCAGGACACAGAATGGTCAAGTTTAGGGATCCCACAAGGTCACTGCCCCCAAACAGGGTCAAAACTCGGGTTAGGTCAAAACAGGGCCTGGTGGCTGTAGCTTTCTAAATACCACACCACCCACACATCTGAGTCTGAGGAGCTGTATTACATCTTTCAGATGGTAACAACAGGATGCCACCTTCTTTCATCCTCTCCAAGGCATAGGAGACCAGGCCAGGCCCATGGGGCAAAGAGATGTGTTAGCATAATTTATTAAAGTCATCAGACAACGACTGTGTTACAGACAGGAAAAGAATTTGAAGGGGCATGGAGATCGTGTTCAACGCCCTCATTCTGTGGAGACTGAAGTCTCAGGACACTGTAGAGACCAAGCCAGACCCTGGGCCTGGTCCTGACACACAGAAACACACAGACTTGAGGTTGTGAGCTAAGGAGATTTAAGGCTAAAACTGTCCCCATGGCCCTGCGTTCAGGTGCTTGAATGCTGTTGAGGCTACTGGAGCACACTATAGGAAACACACTGAATTGCAGGACCACTCGGGACTGGAATTGAAACTGCTCTGGGTGGAGAGGTTAGGAGATCCCACCCCTGCCCCGGACAGTCCTGACTGCCCTGTTCCCCGGGCAGCACACACTTGGGGACAGACACTAGCTTCCTGAATTCCGAATTGACTCAGGAGGAAGAAATGAAAAGCAGCAGCTAGAGGGAAGGAGCCAACAGAGTGCTCTCCCCACGTCCAGGTATGCCCAAACACCTCTGCAGAAGACTGCGGAACACTGGTATTAAATCAGCTATGAGATGCAAGCAAAACCAGTAATAACTTAGCAAAATAAATACAGTGACAGTTTTGCTGGGACTGATGAGGAAGTGGTTCTTAGCTCCGGGTCAGGAAGACTGAGGTGTGCCTTTTGGGACACCACAGGGGAAAACCCTAAGACTGGGCGCTTCCACAGGGGGGTGAAGTCGCACAAACCATTCATGGTCCTTAAGAACCTTCCTGCTAAAACCTGCTCCCTGAAGGTACATTCCTTTGTCCCTAGAAAGGCAAGGCTATCTAGTTTCTGCTCTCTGGTTAAGACCAGGCCTGGTCAGCTATCCCCCACTGGTTGTCTGTGGGAGGCCCGGAGAGCATGGCACAAGGGTGGAGCCAAGTAGAAAAACAGTTTGTTGCTAAGAACTGAGCCTTGTTTGCGGAAGGAACTTCATTCCCTCAGGACACTCTCCGGTTGCTGTACATCTGTGCGTCCAACTTTTGGGGGATGAGACAAATTTTGTCACTTCTCTGGAGGTGATGAGGGCCTGGCCTCGGGGCAGCTAGACTCCAGTGTCCACAGCAGGGAAGCGGTTACATGGAAAGACAGTAACTGGGAGAGAGAATATTGTCCTGTTCCTGCTAGCAGGAGAATGTCTTCCCAAGGTCTGCAGTGTCCCGAGGAGATAGACGCTTCTGCTCCATCTGCTAGCAAGCAGAGAATAGGAGCCTGGGGCATGAGCCCAAGACCTGGAGCTACCAGGGTTCGGTCGGGAAGTCAGTCGGTATCAACGGCCTACAGAGGTGGTGGGCTTCTCTGCAGGTCTGAGCGACAGCAAGGGCAGCATCCCAGCGTCTCCCGCAGCTCAGGTTTCCACCACTCGGATGAGAGGCATAGGCTTAGGGCTGGGGGGTTTGGATATCCTGACACTGGAGAGAGAGGAGTGAACACTGAGGCCGCGCTACTGCCTCCCAACCTGCAGCCCCCCCACTGCCTCCCACCCAACAGCCCCCCCACGGCGCCTCTGGAATACACCCCGGTGCTGGCTCATCTCCTGAGGTCTACCACGACATACTTATCTGGTGGCAAGGGTGGCTGATAAGGATGGGTGGTTAAACAACTGAGAGTGGACACAGCTGACATTCTTGATCTTCCTAGACTGGGGCCTTTTTGTGAATCTCTTAGAAACAAAAGACCCTCCTCTAGAAATGTGCAAATATATGTACAAATTTGCAATATGTAATATTATAAATAAATTTAACATGCACTCTTAGGGGTTCATATACTTCCACAAGCCATGTGTGGTCCTGGGCTAAAGAGTGGCCTGCTGGATGAACTCAGATTGGAGACTGGGACAGAAGGCTGGGCTTCCGTCTTCCTTGCCTCAGCACTGAAGGCTTTACATAGCTCCTCCGCTCTCTCCCATCCTGCCCGGGCCCACGCTCAGCATGTACTCACCTGCCCAGGTTCTCCGTCTTGGCACGGGTCTGCGTGCTGAAGTTCCCATGACTGACCTGCTTCTCTATTAGATGTTCCATGCGGTCATGCATCTCCAAGTTCTGAAAGGCGAGCGTGGTTACAGTGGGCCTCTCTGGCTTGCCACACACCCCCTTTAATTTGCATGTACACTCCTGCTAACTCCATGTCTACCAGCATATCTCCCTTCATCTTCATCACAAGACCTCACTCTCTGCCTCCGATGCGGCTCATCAGTAAGGCAGCAACACTGCTCACTTCTGGCTCTTCCTCTGTACACGTTTCCTGTCCAGAGTTTCTTGTTCCCAGCTGACATAGTCATATACCTTCATCAACAGCCTAGTTTTTAAAATATCTGTAGTTTCTTTGCTGTTGTTTTGACTTCTACTTTTCATTTCCATGTATGTCCGTGTGAGTGCATACCACATGCATACAGGAAGGTGCCTTTGGAGTCTAGCAGGAAGTGCCAGACACCCGGGAGCTAAATGTGCAGGTGGCTGTGGCTTGCCAGATGTGGGTGCTAGGAACTGAGCTTAAGTCCAAGCTCTTAACCCCAGAGCCATCTCTCCAGTCCTTACAATTTTGTTTTTATTTTGTTTTTCTCCATCACATTTTATCTTAACTCTAGATCATACTTTCTCTAAATACCATTTCCCATCTGTCTCCCCTATCACAGGGATGTCACCCAGTAGACTGCAAAGTGATCTGCAGGTGGTCAACAGACAGGAAGGGCTCGGCAGCCAAGTGGAAATTAGATCAGAAGTCACCCTGATGCTGACTGAGCCCATCCCCAAAACTGTGAGGAGATGCTAACGACAGAATGCGCCCTCTTCCTTCCAAGCCTGGCTCCACTGTCAGCGAAGTCCACTGGTCAGCATGTGCCACGGTAGGTGGTTTGCACCATGATGCCCTGCCCTTTGGCAGGGACAGGTCTTGTCACTGTTAGCACTCACAATCCAACTGACCATAGAGCAACACTCTCAGATACTCGGCTCAAAGTCCCCTCCTGTGCCCAGGCTTCTCAAGAACTCAATTCCCTGTTGGGAGCTGTCCCATACACAGACCTCAGCCTATTCTGTTGGGGTTCTCCCATACACAGACCTCAGCCTATCCAGATGGAGCTCCCCCATACACAGACCTCAGCCTATCCTGTTGGGGCTCCCCCATACACAGACCTCAGCCTATCCTATTGAGGCTCCCCCATACACAGACCTCAGCCTCCAAATAGGCAATTTTCTCCTTGAGCTCTTGAATGGTGGCGTCCTTGGACTGGATCACAGCTTTTGAATTCTGAAGCTGCAAAGACATAAGAAACATGGAGTTTTTTTTCTGCAGAGACTCAGTTCACACTCACCAAACTCCACCCTGGCTAGAGGGAAGCCAGCAGAGTCAAAAGGAGAGCTTGCTCCACTCAAGGTTTCGTTGATGCTTCTCTAAGACCTTTACTAATGAACACAGACGCAGGGATGGCAGAGTGAGAAGTGCCATCCTTAAATCCAAAGCGCACAGCAGACAATGCAAAACCTAGTCCTTTGAGTTCTGCAAAGTGAAATTATTTATTCATTCGTCTAGTTAACACTTATTGAGTGCTTATCATATCATAGCTGCTGATCAGGACAGTGAGAAACGCAGTAAACACAACACATGTAAAGGGAGCTGGCCCGAAGGGAGGAAATGACCCCCCCCTGGTTGGGAGAGGAGAACCTTATGCTGAAGCTCAGGCAGAAGAGCGAGGCTGGGGAGCTGCAGGAGGCAGATAACTGGTTTGTTATGACTCCATTACTCATTGCCAGAAAAGAGTTGGAGTGTAGGTGAGAGCAGTCTCTCTCATTTCCCAGTGGGAAAGCAAGATGCAAATACGATGTCAGGGAAGGACAGGAGTTCAATACCATGCTGCTCACGGGACACACACACACAGTTTTAAACTCAGCTGCCCAGGGGAACAGGTGATTAAAGCACAAGCTTGGGGCGAACACAGGACAGGTAAAATGGGACCCCCCCCCTTACCTGCTCTATCATCTGCCGAACTTTCCGCTGCTGGCTCTTGAGCATGTCATCCAAGTGGTGGATCTTCTCCCGAAACCCAGCCACTTCCTTTTCAAGAGCAGCGGTCCTGGGGACAAAGAT